GTTTTAGCTCCTTATTGCCGAGCGCCTGACAGGGTAACAACAAGTACCATCTTTTAACAACTTTGGGTATTAGGCGGCTGGTGATTGAACCCCAGACCTTCCGCTCTCCGACCTTCCGCTCTACTGCTAGACCACGGAGGCGGTCGAAGACTTTGTAAGTGATAGGCTAAAGGAGACCTAGAATAGACAACCGTCAAGTGCTGATGGTGCATCTTTAATTGTTGTTAGTGTAAAGCAGCTGAATAGGTATTGGTAGGACAACATGGCAGATGGTAGAACAAGTCACATTATCAAGTTAAATGATTTGAAGGTCATTAAATGTCTCTTTTTGACCAGCTTAAGATATGATTACATATAGACCTGACATCAGTGATATGGTTGAAAGCTGGCCAAACAAGATAATCAATCAGTTAATCCCATATAGGGAATATGAATGTCACTGGGATGCATCCCTTGAAGCTACCTTGAGGAGAGCCCAACAGCATTGTAGTGGTAGTATTAGTGCCAGGATCAGCATATCAGTCTAGTATCAGTGACAGACCGCTGTCATGGAATGCAGGAATTAACACTTGTGCAGCAACTGCGATAAGGCTTCTATAACTCTGCTCATAATGATGTTCACTAATATGGTGAAATTTGTATGGAGTCAAGCAGGCTGCCTGTTGAAATCTGGGGAAAGCTGTAAGCTGGGGGATTTATTGGGATCTGGGACACATGCTGATAGGAACTGCAGAGGTATTAGTGTTGGGAGGCGACAACCAGATAATTGAAGATGGAATGAAAGGAAGGAGTAGGGGATGGACAGCAAGCAATACACATTTGGTGGAAGCAGGGATGGTATAGGAAGGAGGGGTCAGGATTAGGCAGGGAGGTGGACATTTGCTGGCAGCAGGGATGTTTTTGGAAGGATGGAGAAGGGAGGTGGACATTTGGTGGAAGCAGGGATGGTGTAGGAAGGAGGGGTCAGGATTGGGCAGGGAGGTGGACATTTGGTTGAAGCAGGGATGAAACAGGAAGGGGGGATCAGGATTGGGCAGGGAGGTGAACATTTAGTGGAAGCAGGGATGTTTTTGGAAGGATGGAGAAGGGAGGTGCACATTTGGTGGAAGCAGGGATGTTTTTGGAAGGATGGAGAAGGGAGGTGGACATTTGATGGAAGCAGGGATGGTGTAGGAAGGAGGGGTCAGGATTGGGCAGGGAGATAGACATTTGGTGGAAGCAGGGATGTTTTGGGAAGGATGGAGAAGGGAGGTGGACATTTGGTGGAAGCAGGGATGGTGTAGGAAGGAGGGGGCAGGGCTGGGCAGGGAGGTGGACATTTGGTGGAAGCAGGGATGGTGTAGGAAGGAGGGGTCAGGATTGGGCAGGGAGATGGACATTTGGTTGAAGCAGGGATGAAACAGGAAGGGGGGATCAGGATTGGGCAGGGAGGTGAACATTTAGTGGAAGCAGGGATGTTTTTGGAAGGATGGAGAAGGGAGGTGCACATTTGGTGGAAGCAGGGATGTTTTTGGAAGGATGGAGAAGGGAGGTGGACATTTGATGGAAGCAGGGATGGTGTAGGAAGGAGGGGTCAGGATTGGGCAGGGAGATAGACATTTGGTGGAAGCAGGGATGTTTTGGGAAGGATGGAGAAGGGAGGTGGACATTGGGTGGAAGCAGGGATGGTGTAGGAAGGAGGGGGCAGGGCTGGGCAGGGAGGTGGACATTTGGTGGAAGCAGGGATGGTGTAGGAAGGAGGGGTCAGGGTTGGGCAGGGAGATAGACATTTGGTGGAAGCAGGGATGGTAAAGGAAGGATGGAGAAGGGAGGTGGACATTTGGTGGAAGCATGGATGTTTTGGAAGGATGGAGAAGGGAGGTGGACATTTAGTGGAAGCAGGGATGTTTTTGGAAGGATGGAGAAGGGAGGTGCACATTTGGTGGAAGCAGGGATGGTGTAGGAAGGAGGGGTCAGGGTTGGGCAGGGAGGTGGACATTTGGTGGAAGCAGGGATGGTAAAGGAAGGAGGGGTCAGGGTTGGACATTTGGTGGAAGCAGGGATGTTTTTGGAAGGATGGAGAAGGGAGGTGGACATTTGGTGGAAGCAGGGATGGTACGGGAAGGCGTGTCAGGGTTGGACATTTGGTGGACATTTGGTGGGAGTAGGATTATTATAGGAAGGATGGGACAAAGCTGGACAGAGATGTGGACTTTTCGTGGCAGCAGGGTATAGAAAGGAGGGAATATGGTTGGACAAAGAGGTGGACATTTGGTGGCAACAGGATATGTATAGGAAGGATGGGACAGGGATGTGGACATATTGTAGCAGCAGTGAAGGTTTATGAAGGATGGACAGTGTCTTTTAGTGGCAGGGAGGTTGATCAGTGAAGAAGGGGATAAGGTCATCCTTTGATGGAAACAGGATTAACATTACAGTAGTGGGACAGGGTGGTCGACATTGCCAGAGTTGTTGGTATAGGAAGGATGGAGTGGGATAGGATAGGATATTGTAAGCTTGGAGGAAGACAAAATGAGAATGATGCTTATCTGTTCAGGAGGAGTGAGTGAGTTGTGTTTAACGCCGCTTTTAACAGTATTCCAGTTACATCACGGCGTGTCAGCTTAATGTGGGAGGAAAGCCCGAAGTGATGCAGGTCATAGACGTTTACCACTTCAGTGAAACCCAAGAGCACGGGTATGGTGCTGACAAACGTAGAAACATAATCGGGGCGAACCGGGATTCGAACCCACAATCATAGGTTTCTGGCGCGCCCAAGGGACGCAACTCTGCACAGCGAATCGCGACGACTGGGCAACCCGTGCCCCCCTAATCAGGAGGAAGCTAGGCCATTGGAACATATATCCCCATGGTTGCAGGATATATGTAGTATACATGTTGATGTATGTGTTGTTTCACATCCTAATATGACCCAAGTACATCCAGAAATAACAAATGATCTTGATTCAGTATGCCCAGACAAGATCTAGACATTATGGGTAGAGAAAGAGGTCGTGTATATACTTACATGCTAGATTTCACAAGAATGCAAGGAATAATTCAAATGACAAGAAGAAAAACTTTTTTTTGTAATGTATCCTAGAATATGAACAGACTGCCATGATAAATGTCCCAAGCAAACATTTAAGAGATTTGTGAACAATGAAAGAAACTCTAGAATGACAATAAGCAAAGTAGAGGTTTCAAACATGGAGCAATGTGAGTGTAACTCAAGAATGACCAAGGGTTTGTTTTTTGGTCATTAAAGCAGCTAATGTTGAGACTTAATGATCCAGTTAAACAGATAGCCTGTAAGACAAGAAAGCACCTCCTATTCCGGCATGGCACTATGTTCTTCACAGCAAGTGTTTACAGCTCGCACTGTTATTGTTCCAGCTACTACGACAGGTATCCGATTCTGACAATTAGTCTTCTTCCCATCAGCATGCAACAACAGCAACCACAGGTGCAATGGGACTGTGTTTTTACCCAATCTACATGGCATAAAGTTGTTTTATTAGCCTGCAACAGATAGCAGAGGTTAAGCCAGCACCATTGAGGCCTGGGATAACATAGGCCATAGCCCATTCTCCTTTTGCTGCCAGGCTCCAAGGTAGCTTATTCCTAGGGGCACTATAGGCACAATTACTTAGCTGTGATGGGAGGAGCAGGTGCTTGTTCCCTATCATAATAGACATGGGAATTCCTTCTCTTCTGCCCCATTCACCAAGATTGCACTCAGATGACTATTTACAGGGGAACTTATGCTCATTATCATTGCTTCAGATCTGTATTTAATTAGCCCTGCTTGAGTTATTTATATGCTTTGGAGATGCTGCTTTGGCAGTATCATTGTTTCCACAAAATGTTTTCCCTGCTTTGTTAAACCTGAAGTTGGCCGATGTTGCTGGGGACTCTGGGGTATTGTTGGCTGTGATGTACTGAGTGACTGGTAGCAACATGACACTGAGGAGGAGTAGGATGTGGAGGAGGCATAAATGTATATCAACCATATGTCAGTGTGTATCTGTACACCATGGCATGAACATCCTCCCTGCATGGCCAGCTCAGTTGGTGGAGGGAGGGGGTAATGCCGGAATGTAGCAATTGCTTAATTGTGGACAGCTGTGATGGTCTGACCTGGTACAGATGGCCGTCCATGTCCCCATCAGTCTTTGCTAGAATGTTTTTGTCTCATGGTCCAGACCTGTCTTACGGAGACTTTTTCAGTAGTTTTTAAATGTTGTGTGTAGATTACTGTCAGTTGAGCTTACTAGATTGAATAAATTTTACATTTTGGCTTCGACTAATGATTAGGGTTGAAGACTGCCATCAGATTAAACTATTGCTCTTGCTGAGTGAGTAAGTGGGTGGTGAAATGTCAGTGCAAAACCTGTTAGAAATAATATATGTAAAACTAACCTTTTCTATGGATCTGAATTTGAAGTCTGTCTTTAGAACTAAACAACATACAAAATACAAGATTTTTTTTAATGCAAACGTTCCATGCAGAAACAGTAACAATATTCTATAAACTATTTGATATTCACCTTTTGGATATATGAACTATCTGCCCCAAATAAAATAAAGTTATCTGTTGTGATACATTTAGTTAAATTAAATGACATTTTATTTTGTCATTTTTGCCTGTCTTTCCCAGAGCAAAAGAATTATCCAATCTAAAAACAGAAAAAAATAATTTGCACCTGTCCACAACAATGACAACAGTGGAATTAGACTGAATGAGTGAGTGAGTGAGTTGGGCCTCAGTTTTGTTTTGTCCTGTCAGCATAATGTTAAAGGAAAGCCAAAAGTGATGCAGGTTGATGATGGTTACCATTTTGGTGAAACCCATGAGCATGAGCATAATCATAGGTTTCTGGCACACCTAAGGGGGGCAAGTCTGCAGAGCAAATTGTGACACCTTGGGCTTGCTTCATGTGCTCTGATTTGATAATGAACTGACACCTATATTCAAGTGATGTTGGAGAATAGTTTCTAACAGGTGCTTCTGTTTTCAGGACGGATGATGAGGGCCCTTCCGGGAAAGGCTTCAAGTTCATAATAACAGCTTTTAGTAAAGGTAAGTGCAAAGATTTAACTGATGTAGTACTTTAGAACTGCCATATTTTGTCCCATACCCAATCCCATAGGGAAGATTCTGGGTTAGAGTGCTTCACGAGTGTTACAAGCTTGTTGTTCAGGCTCCTGAAATGAGGATCAGATGGTCCAAGTGCTTGATGAGTAGGAATAGTTTTTGGATGGTGCTGTCACCTGGTTCAGTGGCTGTCATCGTCCTCTGATGGATCATCCCTCACACCATCATCATTCACCAGCTTGTCTGGTTGAGAAATAATTCCATTACAGGTCATCATGACATATCTGGCTGTTTGTTCTTGGGACCAGACTGTTGATTGTCACTGACATCGTCGCCTTCCGGCAAATTGGAATAAAGCACATCACTCGCCAATATCTTAGCAAATGTCGCCGTGGCGCTTATTAGAGCAGGGCGCTTGTTACGTCGAAATACAGTACTTACAATTTCAATTTATTTGTATGCTAATCAAGTATTAAGATATATATATAAGATGTCCATACTTGATTGGTGCAATAGAAAAAAACAAAGTAACTATGATGGCCAAAACATCTTGGCCATCATCTTGTGAAAAGTACTTTTGCTGCTTCACCGAGTTCATCAGTGCATAACTAAGTTATTACGAAGTTATGCACGGATGAACTTTGTGAAGGAGGAAAAGTACTTCACATATGAAGAAGATTTTTACTTTTATAGTCCAGTGATAAGAACTATTAACCAATACTATCATCTGCGGTAGATACAGTAGCATGTTCAACTGCTGTACCAGTTCATAGGAATCATGATAAAATATGTGCTGAGGTAACAGATTCTTTGAAAGATTCTACGTGACGGACACTGTTCTGCTTCACCACGGTTTATGGAAGTAGCTTCTCTGATACCCAGTGTTCATGTGGCCCATGAAGATCCGGGGAAGAATAGGTCTTGAGCAACCCATGCTTGCCATAAAAGGCGATTATGCTTGTCGTAAAAGGCAACTAATGGGATCGACTAGTCAAGCTCACTGACTCGGTTGATGCATGTCATTGTATCCCAATTGCGTGGATAGATGCTCATGATGTCAATCACTGGATTGTCTGGTACAGACTCAATTATTTACAGACCTGTCATATAGCTGGAATGTTGCTGAGTGCAGTGTTAAACAACAAACAAACATAGTGTTAAGTCATCACAACCTCTTTACTGTCTTTGAAAATCATGCTTGCCCGCTAGTCCGAGACTACAAAATCGTGAGGACAAGTAATAATTCAATGATGTTACTCACCATTGACTAGTAGCATTTGATGGCTATAACCCTGAACCTGAACAAGGCTTCAATTTTGTTACAAACTGGAACTGAAAAAAACTGACAGAAAATGTAATCATAGTAAACATTTTCTCCCTTGAAAAGCAGGAATGACTCTGAGGATCAGTGAATCAATGTTTACAATAGTCTTTTGGATTAGTCTTTTGTTGAAACAAATTTCAAATGCTGCTTCTAGACTCTGTGTTTGTCTGTAAACCTCCCCCTTTGACTGTGATCAGTGTGCCTCCCACCGCCCCCCATCACCGACCTCAGTCAGGCCGATCATTGTTATTAAGTATGTTTCTGAGCACAATGTACAAATGCCTGCAACTAATGCCCAGTCATTTTCTCAACTCAGCTTTTCTTTTATTCTTCAGCCAGTACGATAGTGAAGTTGGAGTAGTTAATGATTGGCCATGTTTATTCATAGCTAAATCATGGTTTTCAACATCAAAGAGTTTTGTCAGGGGGAGACAAATCCACACTGACAACATAATTACCTCCCCTGTAGGGCGACAAAACCCCATGACATTCCAATAATAGTTGCTATCTTAGATGCTCTTTTCCTGACCTGCCTTTGTTGTTAGGGGGATTAGGGGGTCAAACTGTTTGCCATATAGTTTTCTCACAATTTATGTTCAAAGAAATCTCTTGTAATGCCATGTAATCCGCCTGACTGTTGAAATATCCTTTATTATAAGCTGTGTATTGTGTAAGATTGCTATGATAGGGGACTCAGGCAGACTAGTCACTGGAGGTGAGAATTGAATCTACCCCCAGAGGAGGATCCCTGGCACCAGGCTGACACTTCCTGGGGGCAGGGGACGCTTTGGGGGAGGGGGGGCAGAGGAGGAGGGGGGTGTCGGTTGTAGAAGGGGTAGTGGAGGGTAAAGAGAGTGATGACGGATTAGGTGAGTCAGCTTGGGTGCCTGTTGGTTGAGAGGAAGAGGGGTTAGTTCGGGGTGGGGAGGGGATGTGCATTGGAGACAGGTGTATGTGTGTGTTGGGGGAAAGGGGATGATAGTGGTTGGGGGTAGGGGGTTAGGATGGGTGATGTGTGGGTAGGGATAGGTGTGTTTGAAATGTGATGCTGGTGGTGGAATAGGGAAAAGGGAGGTGATACACGGTGTCGGGAGACGCGGTGGTTGAAAAATGAGGTTTGCGGTGGGAATAGAAGGCTTAGGGTGGTAATGAGTAAGTGAGTATGGTTTTACGCCGGTTTTACGCCGCTTTTAGCAATATTCCAGCAATATCACGGTGGTAGACACCAGATAAGGGCTTCGCACATTATGCCCATGTGGGTAAACGAACCCAGGTCTTCGGCGTGACGAGCGAACCCTTTAACCACTAGGCTACCTGACTGCCCAGGGTGGTAATGTGTGGGGGAGGGATAGGTGGTGGTTAAATGGTGGGAGGGGAGAGGGATAGATTCATGGAAGAAGCCGTGTGTTTGTGTGTTAGAGGGGGCAAGGGGTTGAGTGGCTTTGGGCTGTATGGTTGTTGTGCAATGTGAGTGTTCTTAGGTGATATGCATGTGGTCGTATAATGGTATAATCAGGAACATATGGTCAACAGAGAATAAGCAGTTTGTAAAGTTATTATTGTCGACATATCTATTTATAAGAACATGACTGCAATATGTTTGGCATTTAGGGAGATATAAGCATAAACACCTGTCCACACATTTATTCCTCCATAAATGCAAACAATATGGAAGTCAATTCAAAATACATCAACAGTGACAGAATAAATGAATATTTCATGAAGGTAAATCTATGGATTAGTTATCTAAGGCAGAAATGCATCCATAAATGTAACTGCATTCATCATGTTCTCCTGACTGATTAATAGGATCAGTGTTTAAAAGTTACCCTCAAATAGATTATTATGCCTATATATAAGGTTTCCATAGAAACTATTTGTCAAAACCTGCCTGTATCAATACCATAGCAACAAGTTCAGGTGTGGGAAGCTGACCTACAGTGACCGAGCGGGATCGGAGTGATTTGGTGGACACTGAGGTGATCATTAACCAGCATAGCATGTGACACTTGATTTGTAGGTTCGGCAGATCATGTATATACCAGGAGGTCTTTGTATAGTATAGAGCAGTACTAAGTTACAATGGTATTGACCAGCATAGCATGTGACACTTGATTTGTAGGTTCTGCAGAGTCTTTGTACAGTATAGAGCAGTACTAAGTTACAATGATATTGACCAGCATAGCATGTGACACTTGATTTGTAGGTTCGGCAGATCATGTATATACCGGGAGGTCTTTGTACAGTATAGAGCAGTACTAAGTTACAATGGTATTGACCTGCATAGCATGTGACACTTGATTTGTAGGTTTGGCAGATCATGTATATACCAGGAGGTCTTTGTACAGTATAGAGCAGTACTAAGTTACAATGATATTGACCAGCATAGCATGTGACACTTGATTTGTAGGTTTGGCAGATCATGTATATACCGGGAGGTCTTTGTACAGTATAGAGCAGTACTAAGTTACAATGGTATTACCAGCATAGCCTGTGACTCCTTGTTAAATAATTAGTATTTATTCCCAGATATCTGCACGATATAAACACTCCAGATTGGGGTTGACTGACAGCAGACAGCCTGGCAATATCACCATTCTTTCAAAATGTCTCCCACATGTCCGTGTTATCAGAGAAAGTCACACAACTGTGTCCAAGGAGTGGTCCATGTCAGGTTCCAACTGACAGAGGGGCTTCACCTGGCACTAGTGGTCTGGCAACCACTGACCATGGAGGAATGTGTCCACCCCAGCCTCTTACATTACAGTCATAGACAAACAGTTCCGCAAACATACTAGAGGGGGTCCTTCAAAAACTCTTGCCATTTGTTGGAGGGGAAGGATAAGTTCGTAATGACTTCTGTAAATACTCCAGTATGGAGGTGACAGGATCCGTCAATACAGTATTTCTGGATGGGAAGGATTAGCTCAGGGCCAGAAAGGAGCCATTTTGGTAAATATGTCTTACAGAGAACATGGCAGTTGGCAGGCCAGCTAACTGGTAGCACTTTCTTATTTTACTTCTCGGGATGGTAAACACTCCAACTGTTTGAGGGGAAGAGGTGAAAGTATTTAATAGGTTCATATTTTGGTTAAGAGACTTGTAAACACCAGAGGGGCTTTCTGCACCGTGCCATTTATCAGGGTTATTAGCGCTAATGGCAAGAACTCTGTAGAGTATTTTGTCAATTTCATTAATCAGTAGATGGAATCGGGCCATGAAAAGTCTCATAGAGGGAAACTGTATATATTCCAAATCTGCTAGAACGTGAAACCTCACTAGTGATGTTACAGAGTATTTGACACTGGTTCAAGGAGCTACTCCGAGAATGAAGCGACATGATGGCTGCCATCTGTTAGTCTACTTGCCGTCTGCTGGGGACGGCTTGTACCCTCAACACTGGGTAACCTCAACATGAAGATACTTTTATCCGAGAAATCTAAACTAAAATAATTTATGAGTAAATGAACCATTATTTTCTATTCAGAAATATGTGAGAAAACACTCGCTTGCTTGTTAGTGTGTTTGAATAGCTCATGGCTGTCATATCTGACATTCATGTAGTAAGCAGAAGATTTATTGTTTCAAAAGCACTCAGGGTTGAAGGTTGTTTTTTAAATCTCACAAATTATATTTGGCCTTATGGTAAAAACTGAAAAAA